AGTTTAAAGCAGATAATCTGGGATCAGATCTTTCGATATAGGGCAATGTGGAAGGGCCCTATGTTTGTGTCCATTGGCAGAATTTTTTTTCTAGAAACTCACAAGGGACTGGAGTCAGACCAGAGAACACCACTTTGAATAGCACTAGTGTAAAGCATAACCCCCCCCCCCCAAAAAAAAACTGATGTATAATGCAGTTCCACAAAAATGAATGAAATATGATATTCATTCAGAAATGGTAAATCCGAGCTCTTGGGCCAAAATGTACTTGTTAGCCCTAATTAGAACAGACCCGTGGAAGCAAAGGGAACACAGCTAATTCAACACTTAGCGCTGTTAACACTTGAGTGCTAATACATTCATTGATGTAATGAATTTACTCAAGTTAGCTTTGGGACTTAGAGATGGACAAACTGCTTGCCTCTTCCCACAGGTTTTTGTTTTTTTTTTGTCGTGTCAGGAGCAAGTCGCTTCTGGTGTGAGAGAATTGGCCGTCTGCAAGGATGTTGCCCAGGGGACGCCCGGATGACTTGATGTTTTATCATCCTTGTGGGAGGTTTCCCTCATGTCCCCGCATGAGGAGCTGGAGCTGATAGAGGGAGCTCATCCGCCTCTCCCTGTTGGTCTTCAGTCCTGCCGGCACAGGGGTTTAACCCACTGCGCCACCAGGGGCTCCTTTCCCACAGGTGAAATCTTGAAAGAAGCAGAAAAATTGTCCCTACCATTCCAACTGGCCAGCGAGCACAACACTTCAAGAATTGTGAGTATGGATGAGCACCCCGTTTTGTAATCTTGGAAAGTCTTCCCCTTCCTTCCCCTCAATCTACTTGACCATCCATCTTAATAGGCAGCAACTTTCCTGAAGACACCAGAACAGCAGAGAATGAAGCTGACAAAATAGCACTTGTTAAGAGAATAAACACACAAAAAAGAAGACAGATTGAATAGGTTGGCAGAAAATAGAGAAATATATTAGCATATTCCTATAATGCCCATACAATTTATTTGTGTTATGATGTATTTATTGTAAATCAGTTTAATACCACAATTTTATATACAAGTAAATGGGATTAATTACATTATGTAACAAAATTAGAAAAAATCCTGTTCCTGGTTTGAAAGTGTTACTCCTGTTTGATTGTGTGGTACGTACTTAGAAAGTAGTTGTTATACTCCAGAAATTTATATTTGTGGCTGCCTATATGGTTGAGACTCTATGAGATATTAATTGAAAAAGAGATTCATTGAAAGGAGATTCCATCTGAACATGAGGAAGAACTTCCTGACTGTGAGAGCCGATCAGCAGTGGAACTCTCTGCGCCGGAGTATGGTAGAGGCTCCTTCTTTGGAAGCTTTTAAACAGAGGCTGGATGGCCATGTCAGGGGTGCTTTGAATGCAGTATTCCTGCTTCTTGGCAGGGGGTTGGACTGGATGGCCCATGAGGTCTCTTCCAACTCTATGATTCAATGAAAAACTATAGCAAAATGTGCTTCAACATGTCCTATAAACACAATGATTTTGCAATGCGTTGTCGAAGGCTTTCATGGCTGGAATCACTAGGTTGCTGAGTTTTCCGGGCTGTATTGCCATGCTATGCTAGGGTACATGAGAAGACCAACCTTGATAGTCATTTTAATGTATTTTATTTGCTTTTTCTAGGCTTTATATTTAAATGGTTAATTTATGTTATTAATATAATTAGGTTTATTTGATTATGTGTATTTAGTCCTCATTTTAGTGTTTATTTCTCCTTACAGTTATTATTTTTGTATTATTTTATTTTATTTTAGAATTATTTGTATTTGAATTTGGGCATTGAATGTTTGCCTTTTTGTGTGTGTATAAACCCCCCTGAGTCCCCTTGGAGAGACAGGGCAGTCTACAAATAAAGTTTATATTATTATGATGTTCCCGAAGCATTCTCTCCTGACGTTTCGCCCACATCTGTGGCAGACATCCTCAGAGATTGTGAGGTCTGTTGGAAACTAGGCAAGTGAGGTTTATATATCTGTGGAATAATGTCCAGGGTGGGAGAAAGAGTGCTTGTCTGCTTGAGGCAAGTGTCCAAGTTGCAATTGGCCACCTTGATTGGCATTTAATGGCCTAGCAGTCATCAAGGTCTGGCTTCTTACTGCCTTTGTTGGGAGGTGATTAGCTGGTTGCAAACTGTTATCCAAACAGAACTATGTTAACATAAACCATGTGAATACACTGCATATAAACCACACAAAGAAATTACAAGTCTGAGTGCTACTTGGTTATCTCATAGTCCTTGAGAAAGTAAACTGTCTTCAAAATACAGTCAAAATAAAGTCCAAATAGTTCAAATTGCTGTCCAGTTCAAAATATTATCCAAACTATAATGTGACAAGGATCCCCGGGTTGAGGTTGCCTTATTTCGGGGGATTTCCCCTTCTTCAGGATTTTGTCTCCTTTATAAAAGTGGGTGCTTTGGTTTGGGTGCTTTTTTGGCATATCTATTATGTTATTGTTATCATCCATTTAGGAATGTATGGTGAACCACACACTTTTATAAAGAAGTCGAAATCCTGAAGAAGGGGAAGTCCCCCAAAACAAGGCAACCTCAACCTGGGGATCCTTGAGGTGATTAGCTGGCCCTGATTGTTTCTTGTCTGTAATTTTCCCTGTATTTGAGTGTTGTTCTTTATTTACTGTTATGATTTTAGAGTATTTTAATACTGGTAGCCATACGTTGTTCCTTTTCATGGTTTTTTCCATTCCCTCAGACAGTAAGAAGCCAAACCTTGAAACTGCTAAGCCATTAAATGCTAATCAAGGTGACCAATTGCAACATTCACACCTACCTCAAACAGACATGGCATTCTACAGATATATAAACACATTTTCCTGGTTTCCAACAGACTTCACAACCTCTGAGGATGCCTGCCATAGATGCAGGCAAAACGTCAGGAGAGAATGCTTCAGGAACATGGCCATACAGCCCAGAAACAAAAACAAGAAAAAGAAATGTTACATGGGTATATATGTGGCTGGAATTACTTTTTTAAAAATGTACCTGTTCCAACTTGCAATTGACGACTTTGATTAGCATTGAATGGCCTTGCATTGGATTATTATAATGCACACGACGTGGGGCTACCCTTAAAAATGGCCCGGAAATTTCAACTAGTCCAATGGGCGGCGGCCAGGTTAACTGGTGCCCCTTACAGGGAGAGGTCAACCCTCCTGTTCAAAGAGCTCCACTGGCTGCCATTCATTTTCCCGTCCCAATTCAAGGTGCAGGTGCTTACCTACAAAGCCCTAAACGGTTTGGGACCCGCCTACCTGCGTGACCGCATCTCTGTGTACAAACCCACACGATCTCTTCGTTCATCTGGAGAGGCCCTGCTCACGATCCCACCTCCATTGCAAGCGCGATTGGTGGGGACGAGGGATAGGGCCTTCTCGGTGGTGGCCCCTCGACTCTGGAACTCGCTCCCCAAGGACATTAGACATGCCCCAACTCTGGCAGTCTTTAAGAGGAGCCTGAAAACGTGGTTGTTCCAGTGAGCCTTCCCAGAATAAGGAACCCTAAGCAACATGTCCCTAATCGCACTTTACTAATGATCTAGGATTGTCTGCTCGCTCCATTTCTCTCCAAATACCCATCCTAGTTATATGTCACCTTGTCATGCCCAATATTTAAAATTTTAAATTATTACATTTGGCCCTGCCACAGGTTTTTAATGCGTCCTGGTGTTACTGTTATTGTTTATTGCTTTGTTTATGAGTTATTTATTGCCTGTATTGCTGTGTTGTTTTTATTGATGTATTTGGGCTCGGCCTCTTGTAAGCCGCACCGAGTCCTTTGGGCGATGGTAGTGGGGTATAAATAAAGGTTTATTATTATTATTATAATTATTGCAGCTTCAAAGTCTGGCTGCAATCAGGAGCTGCTAACACCTCCCATCTGAGTCCAGGCTTCATGTGGGATTTTCTGCCTTGATATTCTGGGATATTGAGCTGTGTGGAAGTGCCCTGGTTGATATGGCAGTGTATGGAAGGACTTACTTACTTAGGCGATCCCTCGTTTTCCGAGGATGATTGTCTTCCAACATTCTTGTGGGTCTGTATGTGGCTGTGGAGCCCTATTCTTGCTCTGCATCTTCTTCCGCAGTGAGGGCATTGGTTTCCAGGTGGGAGGCGGTCCCGGTCGGGGTTAGCTTGATGCGCCTTCCTCTTGGCACGCGTCTCCCTTTCGCCCTCCATTCGTGCCTCCTCAAATTCTGCAGCACTGCTGGTCACAGCTGACCTCCAGCTGGAGCGGTCGAGTGCCAGGGCTTCCCAGTTCTCAGTGTCTATGCCAGAGTTTTTAAGGTTGGCTTTGAGCCCGTCTTTAAATCTCTTTTCCTGTCCTCCAACATTCTGTTTTCCGTTCGGAGTAAAGCAGCTGCTTTGGGAGACGGTGGTCAGGCATCCGGACAACGTGGCCGGTCCAGCGGAGTTGGTGGCGGAGGACCATCGCATCAATGCTGGTGGTCTTTGCTTCTTCCAGCACACTGACGTTTGTCCACCTGTCTTCCCAGGAGATTTGCAGGATTTTTCGGACGCAGCGCTGATTGAATCGTTCCAGGAGTTGCATGTGACGTCTGTAGACAGTCCACGTTTCGCAGGCATATAGCAGGGTTGGGAGGACAATAGCTTTATAGACAAGCACCTTGGTCTTCCTACGGATGTCCTGGTCCTAAAACACTCTCTGCTTCATTCAGAAAAATGCTGCGCTTGCAGAGCTCAGACGGTGTTGTATGGAAGGAAGGGCTAACTCGGACCCCTATAACCCAGAATATCAAGGCATAATATCTTTGAACTGAGTGTGGTCTCAGATAATCCAATTCCAAACTGATACTGTGGGATTTCCTGCCTTGGTATTCTGGACTCTAGGGCTTCCCTAGCCTTGAGCCCTGGAAGTGGGGCGAGTGCGCCCTCCGAGGCCCCCTACTGGCCGGCGGCGGGACTGCAGCGAGGCGGCGCTGACTCAGCCGGGGAGAGAAAGGAAGGAAGGAAGGGAGAGAGGAAGGGAGGGCAGAAGGCAGGCAGGCGGGCCATGGCGCTGAGCGGCCCCGAAAGGCAGCCGGAGCCCCCGCCAAGGAGCAGCAGCAGCAGCGACGCCGCGGCCACCGAGGAGGAGGAGGAGGCCGAGCTGGACCCGCAGAGGCTCCGCGCCCTGGAGCCCGAGGACGGCGGCGCGCCCGGGATCCCGCTCCACTCGCCCTGGACCTTCTGGCTCGACAAGTGAGACCCCGCTTGGGGGGCAGGGCTGGCTTATGTGGGGGAGGGGGTAAGGGGGGGGGGCTTCCCCGCCGTCCCCGGGGCCCGAGAGAGGAAGAGGAGAAGGAGAGCGGGAGGGGCTTTGTCTCCTTCCTTCCTTCCTTCCTTCCTTCCTTCCTTCCTCCCTTCCCCCTTCTCTTCCAGCTTTGGAGAGCCTTCCGGGCCTTCTGGGGACTGCTTCTTGTTGTTGTTCCTGTTTCTCTTCCCTCTTGTCATTCGCAGGCTCACACACACAAACACACATGTATATACATAACATGTGTGTTTGTGTGTGTGTACACACATACATGCCCATGTATATTTATATGTACACACATATGCACAGATGTATATGCACACACATTTATATATACACAGATTTATATGCAAACAAATATATACACAACACACACATATATACATATATTTATATGCTCATACACACATAGATACACGCATACACAAATATATATAATCACACACACATATACTGATGTATATACACACATATATACATATATGCTCATACACACATACACAAATATATATAATCACACACATAATATATATACTGATGTATATACATACACACACTTATATATGTATATATACACACATATGAATATATATATATATATACATACACATATATTTATATGCACACACATATATAGTACACACATATATACTACATACACACACATATTTGTATACACACACATATGCACACAAATATTTATACATACACATATATATATACACAGATGTATATGCAAACAAATATATACAACACACATATATACATATATTTATATGTATGTACACACATAGATACACAAATATATAATACACAAATATATATAATTACACACGCATACATATATACTGATGTATATACACACATATATACATACACATATATTTATATGCACAAGCATATATAGTACACACATACAAACACATATATACACATATACATAAATATCTACATAAACAGACGCTAGATATACACAGCTGTACATATGTACACACACATATATACATATATTTATATTGATGTACACATATAGATACACAAATATATAATCATACACAAATATATAGAATTACATATACATACATATATATTGATGTACACACACATATATACACACATACGAATATATATGGACATATATTTATATGCACATGCATATATAGTACACACAAACACATATATACACATATACATAAATATATACATAAACAGACACTATATATACACAGCTGTGTATATGTACACACATATATATACTACATCCATATATACACACACACATATTTATATGCACACACATATACATTACACACATATTTCTGTACACACTCATGTATATGCACACACATATATACACCTATATTTATATACTACACAAATATACACATATCCATGCACACACATATATACTACACATATACACATACATATATATTTAAATGCTCGCACGCACACATACATATACACATACTCATGTATATGCACACACGTATTTAAATACTACACACGTATGCACACACATAGGAATATCCATGTATATACTCAGCAGACACATATATAGACATATATTTATATGCACACACACAGATACCCATGTATACACATGCACACACTCACACAAATATATATACATGCTTACACACACATATAGTCTGGGAAGTCTGACTTGGCCACGGTAGTCCACGCTCTGGTTACATCCCGTCTTGACTACTGCAACGCTCTCTACGTGGGGTTGCCTTTGAAGACGGCTCGGAAGCTCCAATTAGTCCAACGGGCGGCAGCCATGATACTAACCGGAGCGGGGCGCAGGGAGCATACAACTCCTCTGCTGTACCAGCTCCACTGGCTGCCGATTTGCTACCGGGCCCAATTCAAAGTGCTGGCGCTGGCCTTTAAAGCCCTAAACGGTTCTGGCCCAACTTATCTATCCGAACGTATCTCGGCCTATCAGCCCACCAGGACCCTAAGATCTTCTGGGGAGGCCCTGCTCTCTATCCCGCCTGCTTCACAGGTGCGGCTGGCGGGAACGAGAGACAGGGCCTTTTCTGTGGTGGCCCCTCGGCTTTGGAATGCCCTCCCCATAGAGGTGAGATCAGCCCCTTCGCTGATGGTATTTCGAAAAAGGTTGAAGACATGGATGTTTAAACAAGCATTCGATTAATCTGGTGCAACGAAACTGATGAACAAGGATTGGTTAATCACAGACGACGAAATTGGATTGCGACTACAATTAAGAGATGCATTGGATTATTATTGGTGGCCCAATAATATTGTGTATTGTGTATGTGTTTTTATGCTTTTTAATGGAATATTGCTGCTTGTCGTTGTGTTGTAAACCGCGTTGAGTCGCCGATTTAGGCTGAGAAACGGCGGTATATAAGCACAGTAATAAATAAATAAATAAATAAATATAAACACATATACAAGTAATCCCCAAGTTGCGAACAAGATAGATTCTCTAGGTTTGTTTATAAGTTGAATTTGTTTGTAATTCGGAACAAGTATATTTTTAAAGTGTATTTCCAACCATCTCTCTCTATCTGTCTTTAAGCTTGGGATAGCATAGGGAAGGTTAACACCCCTGTGGGGTTTGTTTCCTGTCTGTGCCTGTGTTCAGAAGATTTCACTTAACTTCCTGTCTCTGTCATTACTGGATTTTGCAAAAGAAATGGTTAGTTATGGAAACAAAGATTAGGAACCCCTTTTTCCCATGACAACTGTTCCGGGAATGAATTTCCCTTCCGAGGGGTAGATTTCTTTCACTTCCTGTTGTCTTTCCCCCATTCTTAACTATGAGTTGTTTGTAAGTTGGATGTTTGTAATTTGGAGACTGCCTGTATGTATACACACACATGCATACACACATATCACACACACACACACATATATACACACATACTCAAATATACACAAATACATACACAAATATATATATTTACACAACTCTATATACATACTCAATATATACACAAATATTTACACATATTTATTTATGCATACATGTGCATGTGCACACAAACACATGTACACACATATATATGCCTGTGTGTATATGCATGCATGCACGTACACATAGGCACACAAGTCTATATACACATATACATATACGTACATAGACGCACAGATATATACATACATAATTATATATACATGTACACGTATAGATACATGTATACACACATAAATATACATGCATACTGATATACCTACATATACATACACATAATATACACACATACCCTCTCTCATTCAAACACATATGCGCGCGCACACACACATACACACACACACAAACACATACTGATATATCATTCGCATCCACAGATTCTCCATCCACACAATCAACCATCCTGAAAATATTCCAAAAAGCCACCTTGATTTTTGCTTTAATCCAAGGGGCCCCATTTCCCATGCCATTGCATATCATGGGACTTGAGTGTCAGCTGATCTTAGTATCCACATAAGTTCTGAAACAAAACCGCAGCAGATATCAAGACTCCACTCTATTCTCTTCTGTGTGTTTCGTTAGGTGCATCTGCACTGTAGAATTAATACATTCCAACACTGCTTAAACTGGCTCATGACTCAATGCTATGGCATTCTGAGAGTTATAGTTTGGTGAGGCACCAGCATTTTTTTGGCAGAGAAGGCTAGAGACTTTGTGAAACTACAACTCCCAGACTTCCACAGCATTGAGCCATGAGAGTTAAAGGGGTTTCAAGCTGCATTAATGCTACAGTGTGGATGTACTCTTTGCCTTTTGGGGAGAACTGGATTCAGTTCTGAGATCCTCCTTCGATGCCAGTGATTTGGAGACCCTGTAATATCCACTCTGGAGTGTGGTTCCTGAGCATATGCAGAGCACCTTACTCTTATGGCTGGGCCCCTTAGAGAGGCCCCACAGCTGTGCTTCTTTGCAGGCAGAAATGGGGCAAGCGCTGGCTTGAAGATGTTCAGGAACCCCTGTGGTGGGGTTTTTGTGTGAGACAACACTGTTGAATGGGAACTGAGCAAAGGCTGGCCTCTTCTGGGAAAAGGAAAAGGAGAACCTCAGAGCTGTAACCTTTTTATGGATTTCTGTCACCACTTTTGACAGTAATTCGTTTAAGTTATGGGGTACATCTCCACTCTAGATTTAATGGAGTTTGATGCCACTTTAACTGCCAAGGCTCAATGCTGTGGAATCATGGGAGCTTTAGTTTCACAAGGTCTTTAGCCTTTGTTGTACTGACCATATACTGCATTTTCATAATAATGGAGTTTATCTGCATTGGGCTGCATTATATGAGTCTACACTGTCATATAATGCCATTCAGTGCAGTTAAACTGCATTGTGAAATTGCGTCATATGGCAATGTCGATGTGGCCAAAGAATGCCGGTGCCTGAACAAACAACAACTCCCATGACTCCATAGCACTGTGTCAAACTGCATTAAGTCTGCAGTGTAGATGTGCCCAAGGAGGCTTTTCTTTGCTTACTTTTGACTTGGAGAGTTTACCATACAATGCTGCCTCCCATCACCATTGCAACCCAAAGAATTAATACAAATTGACCTGACTTTAACTAGCTAGTGTTGAATCAAACTACAACTCCCATAACTCCATAGCATTCAACCACAGCAGAGTAAGTGGTGCCAAAGTACATTAATTTTACAGGACTGTGCTTTAGCACAGCAGGTTAACCGCCAGCTACAGTAAATCTTGCCAATGGAAAGGTTAACAGTTCGAAGCACAGGTCAGGGTGAGCTCTTGGCCTTTAGCCCAGCTTCTGCCTACCTAACAGTTTCAAAAACAGCCATGTGAGTAGATAAATAAGTACTGCTTTAACAAGGAGGTATTTAAGGCACCTATAAGAAAATACCAGAAAAATGCCGACAATTCGATCTTGGAGGAAGTTTACAAACAAAGCTCTTCAGCAGGGGAAGTGGGACAACAGCACACCTCAGTG